CCCGCCTCCTGAAGAGCCCGCCTCCTGAAGAGCCCGCCTCCTGAAGAGCCCGCCTCCTGAAGAGCCCACCTCGCAGCCTCCTCACATGGAAAAACAAGGCTTGCGCACAAACTCAAATGAGTGTCCAATCCCAGTGAGAAGCCCGGTCTCAAAAAGCAAGGCAGAACCAGCTATGTGGCTCAGCAGGCAAAGGGGCTTATTGCCATGTTTGATGACTTTGATCCCAGGTAGCCACAGGATGGAAGGAGACAACCAACCCCAGCCGCTCCACATGTGGGCCATAGCACACGCTCTAAGTTCATTAATTAATGCAGAAATGGATGGGTGTCATCCGAGTAATAATACCCAAGATGGAACTCTGGCCTCTGTATGTACACAGGCACACAGCTCATACGCATGGGCACACACACACACACACACACTCACTATTGGCTAGTCAGCACTGATAAAGGTCTTTGTTTACATTACTCTGTTTTGTGCTCTTGCCACACTATAAGGCACACAGATGCAAGATCTTGACCCAAGTTCTTGCTATGGTTGGAAGAGCTGCCCAAGGCTGTCCATGGCAGAGCCAAGGAAACCCACATGTTCCCCACTCTCCACTGAGCCACGCTGTCTCAGTGCCACAACCAAGAAGAGCGACCATCTCTGCTGTGCCTCTTAGCTTTGAAGAAAAGGACCTGGATAATGGAGGGCAAAACTACCGCCTCCCCTGCACTATGCTGCAGTGCTGTTCTCCGAACAGCAGCCTGGAAGTAATCCATCAAAATACACAGACATCCCACAGTCCAGCTGTCATTCTAAAAGGAGGGACAAGACCCTCCTGGTTTCTTAGTGACTCGGGGGAAGCCTTGGAGAGGGGGATATGGGGGCAATTTTCTACCAGGTCATAGCCAAAGAACCAGCAGTTTTAACCTGTCCAGACATACAGCAGATGGCCGATGGCCCAGTGTGCAGCATTTTGTACAAAGCCCACTTATCAGGCCCGGCAGTCAGGCAAGCAGCAGCCAGGCCTACACTGTCCCAGCCAAGGCAAACACCCTGCCCTGCCTGGGGTTCTCTGCTCTTAATTTAGCATTTTGCCCTGTCATGGCTTCTTCCCAGCACTCATTACTGGGAATTTGTGACTGCAGAGGAAACAGGAGCCCAGAGAGGGCAATTTAACATAAGGCTCCCTGTTCTGAGAATGCACCAAGGGCCAGGAGGAGTCGGCTTGATTTAGGACCCCATGAAATGCCAGCAAAATGTTTAAATCCCTGCTAGGGGCACCTGCAGACAGGTATATGTCCCCATAGGGACGTTCGTCATCCTTGGAATCAAGTTCGCCCTTCCACTGCCAAGCATGGGTTTTACATCTGAGGAAATGAGGTTAGCCCCTCTCTGCAGGCCTCTTTTATAATCTTTCTTAATCCTGAAATTTGGAGGTGTTTCCATCCGGAAAAGTCCCTTGGAGCGACCCCATAATCACAAGTCTCCTTCTCTAAGAGACGCCAGGAAAAGGCCATACCAGCAAACCTCAAAATCCCACTTGAGTTCTGGAGCTCTTCCAGGGGTCAGAAAGAACAGAGGGAGGGAGGAAGGAACAAAGGAAGGAAAGGAGGGAGGGAGAAAGAAAGGAGAGAGAGAGACTTGAACAGTATTTCATCCTCTCAGAGGATTAGGAATTACAAGGCATCAAATCAAGCCACTTCTGCCATTTGTGACCTTGGCCAGGCCACGCTGTGATCCTCTATGCGTCATAGACAGCATCTGCCCTCACCTGCCAGTGAGCCTCCTCAGAGAGAAAGTCTTTCATAATGTCCTGGGCACCACAGTTGGCAGCAGGGAAGGCAGCCTTGGTGATGAGATCTGGCCCCATTTTCGTGGTGCATCTCTCCATTTCAGAGCATGCCATCACCCCATGCTACCCCAGCTCCATTGCTTCACCGGAACACGGTATATGCCACAGAAATGGCACCTGAAAGGCTGTGATGTGCATCGTGTGAGGAGCCATGTCCCAGAGCGTGGCGTGCTTTCTGCTCTGCTGTGTAGAGTCCCTTCTTCAACCCTCGTGGGCACTGCTGCATGCTGGTATCCAGGGGAGTGAGGACTTTTGAGGTGGGAGCTGGCTCAGATGCCCTTCCATCTTCCAATAGCATCATTAACTAATCCTAACACAGACTTCTCGTCAGCAATGCAGAGGAAACATCAGACCTGAGGCCTGAGTTCTCACCCCACGTGTCCTTGAACTGTGGAGAGGAAGGTTGAGCCCTGTCCAGGTCACCTGCAGAGATTTCAATCCCATGGGTCTGTGCTGTGGCCTGTGGTAACTAAAAGGTCTCAAAGCTGAGCATAAGCTTTTAAGCTAGGCTGTGCCCTGACTTCCTTCCTGTCTCTGCACTGGGTTAGGACAGAATGTGAGAAGAGAACCAGCAAGATGGCCCAGCTGGTAAGGGTGTCAAGCCTGATGACCTGAGTCTATGTCATAAAATGAAAAAAAAAATGCCCATAAATTGCTTTTATCCTCTCCACACATGCTGTGGCATATAGGCACACAGGCACACAGGCGCACACACTGTAAATACATGCTCAAAAAATACTTTGAAAGTACGTGTTAAGAAACAAATAAGGATCATCTCTGCTCAAGTCCACACTTGGGCCTCACACACAGGATTGGCCTGCGGGACTGCAGCCTCAAGCCATGCTGTATTGCCCTCTTAGTCCCAGTCAGCGGGCTATTGTAACCACGCGTTCAGCCTCGGTAGGACCACAGAGAGAGCCCTGCCCTGTCCTCACTCACAACCTGGCTTCACAGTCCACTTCCAGCTGACTGGAGCTTCCTCTTCACCTTGCCCTCACTGGCCTCACCCCTCAGCCCCCCACCCCCGCCCACTGAAAATTTTAAAATGTTGTGTTCATCACACTTCATCCAGAAGATGTGAGCAGTTTCTGCTTGCACCTACCATATCATCCAAACTCTGGGTAGATGAACTATGAACTCATGCTGTGCTCATACTTCCATGTGCCTGGATATAAGGATTCTGCTCAAATGCAGATTTAAATCTGTATGTCTAGGGTGGGATCCAAGACTGAGTTTGGGTCTGCTCAGGAATGATACCTTGACAAAAACAGTATTTCCTGCAGAGCCTGGGAGGCAGAGTTCAGAGAGAAGAGTAAGGCCAGTCCCCGCTTGGTGGCCATCAGCCCTGGGGAAAGGCCCCACTGACCAGCACCCCGTCTCCTTCCAGGCCTGGGAAACAACTGACAGCTGTTGGGAGTCCGAGCCTGTCCTGCAGACAGAATGACCACCGTGAAGATGAAGACCCTGCCCCTCACTTGTGACCTCGGATCTGATGTGAAGCCACCCCAGGGAACGGCTGGCAAATTCGAGGCCAGAGGAGAGAGCTGTGCTTCTTAGAGGACGGTGTGAGGGCAAGCACCGGAAAGGGGGCGTGGGGCTGACAGGAGGTCCTGACAGAGCTGCTGACAGGGTGGGTACCGCCAAGAGGCTGGAGGCAAGACAGGTTGCTACTCACTGGCATGTTTATGAGAGCCCTGAAGACACCAGAACACCATCAGAGTGCACAGGCGGGGGCCATTCCAGGCAGTGCGGCAGGGAGGCATGAAAATTCATTATTTGTTTATAGCTCTTCACTAGGCACCACCCAGTCCAGTCCTGGTGGGGCTTCAGAGCCCTAGATAAGAATGTAGGGCACCTTGAGGACCAGTGTCTCAGCCCAAACCATCACCCACTCGCCCTGTCTCCGGGGAGCTACGTACCCTGCAGCCTGAGGACCTCACAGTACAGGAGAACAGTGGGACACTACCCAGAGCTCTGCAGCCATCGGTACCTTAAGTCCTCACCTCACCAAGCTGGACGGGGCTCTATAAAATTAAGGCCTAAACTCCCCATCCTCACAGGGGAATGTAGCTGCCCCGTGGTCTTGCCTCAATGACCCTCCTGGCGTTCCACAACCTGGCTTGGGGACTTGGACTAAGTGAACACGAAAGGGAGGGGAACACAGTCAGCAGATGCCTATGTTGGGTCCCAACACAGTTGGAAGGCAGAAACGGGCGCCCAGAAATGATGACAGCTGAATAAAAACACCTTCTGATATTCTTAGTGTGTTGGTCCCTTCAGTGTAAGAACCTGTGTCCCTGGGGAATAGACAAGGAGTTGACAGAGCAATGTGGACTTGTTGGGTTTGTTTGTTTGTTTGCTTGCTTGTTTTCATTCCTTTTTGGGCATATTGAGGCTAGACACACCTGTAGCGCTCCTCTTAGTCATAGCATCACTGAGGAACTAACTTCAGCGTGGGTGGCAACCTTCAGAAGATGCACCACCATGGCTGGCCACACATGCCGGAGGCAGCCCCACTGAAGAGCCTGCTCTCTCCAGCAAGCATTGGCCTCCTGCATGATCTCCAGGAGGCCTGTGACTCTTGCAGCTTTCGACCTTCCTGGGCCTTATGAGCCTCTTCCTCCCTTCAGAGTGCCCTGGGGACCCCACGGGTCATCCTCTCTCACACCTCGCCTTTGAATTTTAATTTCTGTGGATTTTTTGTGACCTAATAGTTTTCAGAAGTCAGCTGACATGGGCATTAAAAGTCAGCACACTTTTAATCCTGGTACTTGGGAGGCAGAGGAAGGTAGATCTCTATGAGTTCGAGGCCATCCTGGTGTACATGATAAGTTACAGGCCAGTCAGGATTATGTAAAACCCCATCTCAGAAAAACAGAAACAGAAAAAAAAAAGTTTTCAAAAATCCCACACTAACTGCCTGGCTTATATCATTAGGAACCAGAAGGATGGGGCAGGCCAGTCTTGCCCTTTCCATATCTGGTTTCTAGGTCTGCTGACGACTGTAAGGTGGAAAGAGCTGTGACACCCATTGCCTGTTGTCTAGCTCCTTCCTAAGACCCTAGCACAGAGCCAGTTCTTAATTAACAGTCCCTCCACTTAGGAACCCAAACCTGCTTCTCAGGCTGGAGTGACGCTTTCTACCTCCTGTGGCTCAATGAGTTAGCCCCATGGGGTGGGGGCTACTCCTGCCCACCCTACCCCACCCCTAGTAAAGCCTATAGTTCAAGGTAAGACCAGACAGGAAGGAGACTCTTGATGAGTCCACAGCAAATAAACCAGATCCACAAACGCACACTCAGGGTCCTGGAGATAACATGGACCTGGCCGGAGCCCCTTGGGATTGGCATCAGTGATCCTGGAAGACCTTGATGTGGCCCATCTTCTAGAGCTTGCTAAGGTCTCTTGACTTTCACTCTCCTGCACAAATGTTACCTCCTAGATCCAAAAGCTTTATTGACCAAGATGTGTGGTACAGCCGCACACAGGGCCTGAAACCGTTGCCCAGGCTGGAGAGGAAGTAAGGAAGTGGGGAACACACCAGCCAGGGACCTAGGGCTATGGATCATTGGCAATCAATCCATCTTAAGGTAGCCTCCCTTAAATCTTTCAGTGGATGCTGGGATTTTGGTGTTCACCCACACTACACCACAGTGTACCTTGCCCCAAATGGGAGAAGGGATGAATGCTTGGAGAGGGTGTTCCAGCTCTCCCCTGAGGCTCAGTGGAGCTGGGGGAAAAAGGAATGTCTAAATTCAAATGTGGAGATCAAAATGTTTTCTGAAGAGAAGCCTGGCCAGTGACCCTTGTCCAGTCCTAAACAGAGCTGCCTGTCATTCCACAGGAAGAGGGTGGGGTGGGAGGTGCTTTCATTTATCTTGCAAAAGGGTATTTCAGGTTGCTCAGCAAGTGAAGGCATTTGCCACCAACCCTGATGGTCTGAGTTTGATCCACAGGATCTACATGGAAGACGGGGCGCTGACTCCCCCAAGTTGTCCTTCGACCACCACATATACCCTGTGACATCATGTACCCCCATCACACACACACACACACACATACACACACACACACATACACACACACAGCAACAATAATTATATAAAAATTTAAGAAGAAAACTCTAATTTATAGAAATCAGATGGAAACACTGGGACACTGAGTAACTGGTGTCAATTTTTCTCCATCTCTAATAGAATTTACATATGAAGTTTTGGCATAGATCCACGGGTGAGGCGTCCTCCTGCACGTTAAAAATGGGCTTAGCTCTGTGATCTGCTTTGGAGACACAAGCAGAGGCTGGACTTGTGCCTACACGGTCACACTTGCTTCTTTCACTCGCAGGACATCTTGAGATGTCCTTGACAGACGCTGTCCTTTTAGCCCATATCCTGGAACATACAGAGGGCAAAACCAAGCCAGCCTGGAGGCTAGCACAGGGCTTCACAGGAAAGCTCAGCCACAGCTGACTGCAAGACCTGTTGTCCTGAGACGAAACATTTTTTTTCATAAACCACTGAGTTGAGGGAACGGTTCCGTAGCATTATTCATGTCAATCGCTGGATCCTACAGACATTAAAGTTCAGACATGCTGTGTAACAGCTCCAGAACTTCCCAGTGCAATGTTCACTCTGCCCCTTTACACTTACTGTTGGCAAACATTTCAGGGTCCACTGTATCTGGGGCACAACAAGACCTAATTTACTCCACTTTACACAAACCAACGGCTTTTAGATCTCGGATAATAGAAGGTCATCGACTGACGGGGGTCCCATGAAAAGCCCCAAACATCACAGGCTTTTTTCAAGGCCATACATGTTTATTACTCTACACCCTGGTGGTAAGGCCATGTGGCTTCTGGTAACATTTGGATGTGGAGATGTCCAACTGGTGCCTAAGTAGAAGCTTCGCCCCTGCTGACTTGTGACCGTGGTTCCGGAAAGTATTCTGCATGCCATCAGAGGTGACTCTTGCCGTCGCTATCACCCAGCTGTGAGAACGGGGAGCCACATGCCTGCTGGCTGTACCAGTGCAATGGAGGTGCAAATGTGAATTGGAACCCATAGCTGCCACTGCCAAAGTGGCCAAGAACCTGAGGCTAGATAGGTCATAGTAGGAGAAAATGTCCTGCCATTATTCTGCTAAAGGAACAGGGCAATAAAACGACATGCTGCTATACCCGTAGATCAGCATCTTGCTCAACCCTCATCAGAGCAGCTTTTCCTTACAATAGACGGGAATTAGCATAGAGATCCAAAATTGGCAATGTGCAGTGAGTGAGGGGCTCAGTCCTACATATAAGGATGAGGTTTTCATCAAACCCCTCCCCTCAGGATTCAGGGATCTGTGTGGAAGAGGAGGTAGAAAGACTGTATAAGCAGAAACAGTGGATGATTCCAAGCAAACCGTGTCTTCCAGATATAAAATGACTAATACACATAGGAACTCACAGGATCTGTGGCCATGACTTAGCCAAGTTCACACCAGACAAGAATCCCAACACCCAGAAGGGAAAGCGAACGTGCTCCATCCCTAACCAAGAAGCTCTCTGCAACTGGTAACCACTGGAAAAGAGAAAATCTGTTTTCTCCAATGGAGTCTGACTGGCTATTCAGCCACACTCTATAGTAGCCCCATGCCATCACAAAACGAGCTCAGTGGCATTTTTGTTCTGTTTTGCTGTGTTTGAAGGTTTTTGTTTGTTCTGTTTTGGTTTGGTTTGGTTTGGTTTTTTTGTCTTACTGGTCTTTTTTAATTTTCATTTTTGGGGGATTTTTTTGTTGTTTCTTTCGGTTTTTTTGTTGTTGTTGTTGTTGGTTATTTTGCTGTTGTGCCTTGGGTGTTTTGTTTATTTGAGAGAGGTGTTGGGAAAGGGAATGGGGAAGAGAGAGAGGGCAGGTGCAGTGAGTGAGAGACTTTGGAGCACTGAGTTCTAAACGTGATCTTTTCATCAAATCCCTCCCCTCAAGACTCAGGGATCTCTGTGAAAGAGAAGACAGAAAGTATTATAAAATCCAGAGATGATGGGATGGTTCCAAGAATCAATTGGGTAGGTAGGGAGGTGGAGAGGATCTGTGAGAAACTGGAGGGAGGGAAAATATATTGTATGAAAAAAGTTTTTCAATGAAAAAAATTGAAAATATTAGCCATCGAACCAACTAACAAAAGATATATGTGTCAGGATCCTCACATGCCTGACTGATCTATACCTACTCTTCATCCACACGAGGGTCCATGACATCCCAGGCCTCACACTACTTTGACCCCAATGCTTCTCAGAGTTCTGGGTTCTACCCGTGGTCTGAAGAAGTGACATGGTACCTGAAGATTCATTCACATGAGGCATTCAGTGGTCCTTTAACTGTCACCCTATCAAGAGAAATAGCCATTGAGGAGGCAAGACATTCATAAACATCAAAATAACACAATAAATTTATCTTTTCAAAAGATCAACACCAAGTATGGCTGCTTATTTAGTTGGAGGCTCCCTGAAAAATCACCTCTCAGTTCCCACATCCTCACTGCTGGTCACCATAGGCTGGACTTCCTCTGAGATCGACCTCTCAGACAGATAAAGATCCATCTGGACCTAGACCATCTGCTCTACACAGAATGTTTTTCCACAGTGCCCACTGTAAGGAGACCTTCAGGAGCCCTTAGCATCCTTGACTGCAACTCAGCCCTCAGCCACTTGGTTCTATTAGGGAGCACTTGATGGCCCCTTCTTTCTCTCTTACCCTTTTTCCTACAGGATACATACCTGGGGCAGCTGGGCGGCATCCTCTCCCTATGGCCCTGTTTGGACAGTTCACCTCTATGCAGACATTTCTGGTGAGTGAGCCCATAAACAAATACCCACGTTGGATGGTTGGGTGGCCTGTCCTCTTCTCTATTTCAAGGTCAGCCAGATGGAAGGAAACCTGAGCCCAGCTACTGTTTACTCTGGATTCTCTGCCCATAGGACATGGGATTGATCTTTCTTTTTGCCTCCTATCTTCCTATTAGTTCAGCTTCAGAAAACACCTTATCATCCCCGGATGTTAGGCCACGCTCTGCCATCAGGCCCGCCTGGCCATTTTCCGTTCATCATTAATTGATTTTACCCTCCCCACTGGGGAAGCACAAATCAACTCTGCCTGTTAGTGACAGAAATTCCCTGCAAAGGGTCATAAATCATGCCTTGTGTCTAGGACTCACAGAGGAGCACTGTCCACACATGAAGATGCCAGCCTAGGAAGGGGG